TTTTTTCTACGTATTTTCGATAATATTTATTTCATTTATTCACACCGCCAAAAAACTGGCTGAATATTCAGTTTTGCAGGAAAATGACTCCAAGAGTCATGAAAAACCTGATCTTTTCGTGTTTGTACAATGTTGGGTATTTTTATACAATAGTTATAGTAACAGTAGTCTTTTCTCGATTGGTTTAAGAGTTTGGTCTATAAAAGCATTGACACACGATAACCTAACCTATACATGAAAATGCTTAGTTAGCCGAAATGTAAACGGTCCAATATAGCCGAACTTGAACGTGTAAAATGAAGGGCCAGTAGAAGCGTCAACATTGTAGTGACGGCCCTAATGACTGCAAAAGTCATCATTCAATTTATTAAAGAAGTGAGATATTGAAGAAAAGTTTTACGTCTAGTCTAACAAGTCCCTGTTGGGAGATATGAATTTACAATTTAGTAGAGACCGAAAGACATGAAAAATTATACTGATTTTTGCTAATACATTGACACAAACGGTAGTTTCCATTATAAAGTAATTACAGTTCAAAAGATAATCACCAACTCAAAGGATGGCTATATCACAGTCAATGTTGCTAATTATATTGCGTTTCTATAAATGTTTGGATAAAAATCACAGAAGTATCATTGCATTCAGCTCATCTTCAGCATTCAAAATCCACTTACAAAATTTTTTGTGCACTTAACTTGCAATGAGAAAACACCAAAGAAACGCGTCAAAGGAAATGGCACATTTGTATGGAGGGAAAAACAGTTTTTCTCGAATTTAAACCAGACGTTCGCATTTGCATTGCTTAGGAAGCAGCATGTTTTAAGGCACAGCATTAATGCTAGCATATCGATGGTTGTAACAGCGACGCATACACATCTCTCGTGCTCAGTAGCCGTCGCATCAACAAACATACACACGCATACAACAAACGTTGCGTGATATATATACGTTTGTTGTATGCGTGTGTATGTTTGTTGATGCGACGGCTACTGAGCACGAGAGATGTGTGTGCGGCTTTTGTGAGCGCGAGATCCGTGTATGCGTCGCTGTTGCAACCATCGATATGCTAGTATTAATGCTGTGCCTTAAAACATGCTGCTTCCTAAGCAATGCAAATGCGAACGTCTGATTTAAACTTAAATATCACAGTTCAACAAAATTCGGGTCATGGAAAAGGGACACCAAATGGCATATCAGACATGAAAGTATTCCTATAGACTAGCAAAACCCCGCCGGCGTATAAGAAAGTAATGGCCATAGGCAGTTGTCGTTGCTCGGTCGATTATTCTCAATATGGAACATGCAGATTTTAGGCCATATCTTGTAAAATATTCGACATATTATGTTGCTGTTTATGGCAAAGTTGTAGAAAAGAGTTCAAATAACAAATTTTTTGAACATACTATACCCTAAAAAGAACTTTTAGTCAATGTTTTGGAGCAAAATATCGAAAAAATCGAAAAAAAATCAATCTCAAAGAGTATGCAATTTTTTTGGTTAATGTTTTCAGCAAAATTGTAGCCAAAGTAAAACTGCTAATTTTTCTTCTTGATGTCAATCCAAAAAAATTACTTTTCGACCATTTTTTCGACTGGAAATCGCTTTTTAGCACCAAAAATGGCCATTCTGTTCACGTTTTTGGCCGATTACTTGCAAATAACTATATATATTTCCATATTATTCGTTTGAATTTCCATTAAAGTGTCTCTGCAGATAACTTGAACGAATTTTTTAGCTAATTTAATAAAAAAGTTCACTCATTTGTCAAAAAAAATTCCGGGTTTTGGAACGATTTTTGAGCGTTTGGTGGATATTAAGCAAAATTAATTCATGGAAACAGTAATATTTCAGGATTGGATATATTCCATTTCAAAGCTGATGATCACAGCTAAAAAATGAGTCCAATGCGATCCACTTATAACATCTAGTTGGGAAGTTATCTCTCTACAAGTGATGACATGTCGATTTTTTCACAATTTTGCCACTAGTCATCACTTGAGAAGCCATAACTACCCAACCAGAAGTCATAGAGAGATCGCATTATCCATATTTTCTAGGTAAGAATGTCAGCTTTAAAATGCCGTACAGGTAAATCTGAAATATATCACCTGTCATGACATTATTTGGCTCAATGTCCATAAATTACCCAAAAATGGGTCCAAAAATCAATTTGGATCGCATTGGACTCATTTTTTAGCTGTGAACTAATAAATTTCCTGACCAAATTGTAGCTTTTTCGGCTCTCTTTCCAATGGTATATCAAGTGTGCATTTATCTTCATTCCATAAAAAGTTATGACTAAAATGATTAGTGCGGGTCAATCTACACATAATTCCCCTAGCAATTTTCCCCTACAAAATTTACCAAAATTCAAATTGATTCATATTAAAACTTTTTTTCATGATTTACCTTAAATTTTTCTACGTATTTTCCAGACAATCATTTCAGCATAGATATTCAATTTTCTGATGAGATCACAGTAACTGAATGCAGTGACTACAAACGTCGCTGTGAGTAAACGAGCGCCTTACATTCAAGCGCGGACATGCATATAAATTATGCTTTACATTGGTTTACACACAATCGGAGTGAGTGTGCGTGCGAAAGGAGAGAAGAGAGGAGAGACGAACGAAATATGTCGCATTGAACGATGAGAGTGAACGTCTCTTGATACAGTGTCAATGTGGCGAACACTTACTCTTTGTTTCTTGGAATTGTTGTTCCTTCTTCTTTTTCTTCTAACAAATTGGTTGGCACAAACACAAGTAAAACAAGATGCCTTACATTCGTAAGGTTATCTTTCTACACTCCCAAACATATAATTTCGAATTAAATCCAATTCTCCATGCATTGAAATTAGGAAAGCAACATATTTTAATCAGACCTTAATATCAGAGCGATTTTAACACTCTGTTTTTCATACATTGTGACATAGCAGAATTCTTACCGTGTTGTTTTTGCGTACAGCGTATAGTGTACCACGCACCTACCCTACATACCATAAATAACGCTAGAATTCGGGATTTTCGGCGTTTAAAAATCGAAAAAAAAACTGCTTAAATAGATCAAAAAATCTGGGGTGAACGCTATTCTCATTTTTTGCGTACAGCTTACAGCGTACAGTGTACCACACATACCCTACGACCCTAAAATAACACTAGATTTTTTGATTTTCGGCGTTCAAAAATTCATTTTAGTGGGTCAAAAAATCTGGGGCGATCCCAATACTTTTCTTACACGACATGGTCGTGTGGAAAAGTAAAAAATAAAATGCTATAACTAAACACAACAACAAAATAATCAAATATTATTTTGTTTATTCTTTGAATGTGATTTTTTTGCTTGTGTTTGTGCTGCCAACCAATTTGTTAGAAGAAAAAGAAGAAGGAACAACAATTCCAAGAAACAAAGAGTAAGTATTCGCCACACTGACACTGTGTCAAGTGGACATTCATTTGCATCGCTCGATGCAACACATTTCGTTCGTCTCTCCTCTCTTCTCACACTCACTCCGATTATGTGTAAACCAATGTATATGAATGTCCGCGCTTGAATGTAGAGCGCTCATTCACTCACAGCGACGTTCGCAGTCACTGCATTCAGTTACTGAGATTTCATCACAAAATTGAATATCTATGCTGAAATGATTCTCTGGTATTTTCGATAATATTACTTGATTCTCTTCAGTTTATCCGGAATATATTTCGAACTACCGAAATTACTTTAAAAAAACATGGTGTGCCATAACTTTTGACGCTGACTGTAAGAAATGGTTTCACAACTGATGCCACCATTAAAAATGGACTTTATTGTTATAACATTATCTACTCACCCATTTGTTTGCAGAACACCATCGCCATCAGGGGGCCAAATCCACGTATGCTTGGTAATAAAGTGGTTTGATGTATAACGAGTTCCTTATTGCTGCCACCCTGTTGACTCATATGCGCAGCAACCATATACTTGATCGATAAGTCCTGCAACATTGAGTGTTATAAAAAGTGTTTATACATACTATAAAGGGTTTCCCTTAACAAACCTGTTGCAATGAAGTCAATAAGACACTATTGACGGAGTGAGCATCTATGTTAACCGATCTCTTGCCATTGTGCAATAAAACCGAGTGAACTGCAGATTCGAGAGGGCTTTTGGGACCCTTCAATTGTACCGCTCGATCATAGTACCGATCTTCCAATGGCATAATTGGCGAGCAATTAGCGATGGGATAATATTCATCACAGTCTGCAAAGTTCAAGGTGTCTTCAGTTTGCCCTTCCACTGCAATTAAATTTTGCAGATGCTGACGTTTCCAGTGATTATTCTAGAAGATTCATTTTTTTTTGGTTCAATATAAATTCAAACAATAACTCTATGTTACTTTTTTCATTCAGCATTGAAACACACCAAATTGTACTCACTTTCGATAAAAAGTTCTCTTCACTAAATTCCCCATAACCATAACGATCGATGAGAATGTTGTTTAAATTTGTACCATTTGCAAAGATGAAAACGTTTGCCGTTCCATTTACAACCGAGTATATCTACAAAAAATGTCTGCGTTACATGCTGTACTAGAAATAACTACGTCACTGTAAATACCTCAGCCTTCACTTCACGATCGATGACGAAACTTTTGAATACTTTAATCGCTTCATGATCCCACATATTTCCGCCTGATAAATTGGCCGTCGATGGACTAATTTCAGACAAACGGCACTGGAAACACCGTGGTGGCATCGTTGCCTGCTCTGTTTGCCGCGTGAACACATAGATATCATCCAATTGACACTTTTGCCTACGACCTGAGTCGAGGAAATACACAGTGCCTTCGGAAGAGGTCAACTGAGCACGATAAAGTTTACCATCGGCGTGATCGCGAGCAACAATGATTTCGGTTTTACTAAGGGTGTGCAATGATTTCGGTTGTGCAAGGATACTGTGAAAGTCATTGTTCAATTCTTGATTGTAATATTCAATTCGTTGTCTTTCATCAATCGGTTGGAACCAAAATGTTGAACAATTTTCGACCTGCATTTGAATTAATGTTTGTTAAGAAATGAATAGATTATATGTGACTTTCCAACTTACATGAGTTACGGTTCCCATTACTTCTTTTTCCGTAGTTTTGGGAATACATATGTTACGAATTTCACCACAACAACTTCCTTTAAAGATAAAAGAGTCGGTTTCCATGAATCCCAAACCCATCTTTTCAGCAACTTGCTTCTCTCTGTCTGGTCTGGAAGATTGTCAACAATGAAATTACAAACGAAAAAACACTATGACTTTAGAACACTTTACTTCATGAGTGGAATGCGTGTAGGCATGTTCATTTTGCGCATCTTCACCGCTTTGTAGACTTCAGTTAGGGTTTTACCCGGGATTGAACAAAGCTTTGTGTCCCAATCATTTTGATTGTCACTGCAAACGCCCTGTGAAACGCCCTCGAACGTGATGAAAACCTTTTCGGAATTGGCGTCGAATGAGACCTTGACACTATTGATATTATCTGCTGCTACAACTGTGTTTTGGAAAAGCGCTCGGACAAAAAATGAGTATAGTGGACGAATGTTCTCTTGTCGAAATCCAGTGAAGAAGACAGTGTTATCTGAAGTTCAATGAACAATTTGCAATTAAATTACACATTTCACATCAATATTATGAAATTCATATATGGTCACGGCCACGGCGCACGGTAACGTTACTGACGTTTTTCACATGCTCATAACTCCGCTATCATAATAGATAACAAGAAAGAGTAAAGGCATAAATTCTAGCTAATTATACTGAAATTCATTTAATACAAGGAACTCTACAGTCCGTGTACTTGTTATGCTAAATATGTGCAAAAGAATAAGAAGGTGTTAAAAAAATGTATGAAAACTTGCGAATTTTCTAAGTATTTTTCACACGCTGATATCTCTACAAAAACCAAAAAAAAGTTCCATTTTATGATTCGATTATTGTTGCCCCTTACTCGATCTACATTTTTTGTCTTCACTCTTCTGAAATATCTCTGATAGTGGCCATGTTATGAGCTCATTTGTATGTCAGTAACGTTACACCTCCGTGGCCGTGACCATATATATGTATGTGTTCGTTTATATACGATCATATGTGTGTATAAGGAGTATGAAGTGAAGAACAATAAAATACCTGGATCACGGCCATTGAGTGAGTGAAACGCGTCTCGTTCCACCATGGGATTGTTTATTGGTGGAGTTGCAAAAAAATGTGGATAAAATGCACCGCTACAGACCACTTTCAGTATGATGCCTTTCTCTTGCTCTGTCCATCGAATTCTATCAACACCAGTCGCCTGGCGTATGCCAAGCTTCTCAAGCCGTTGAGTTAACTCTAAAACCAGTTGGTGACACTCGTTCAGCGAACGTAACTGCAAGAATGGAACGAAAGACACAATTAGTTTTATTGGATCATGACTTGGAATTTTGTCTAAGTCATATGAACCCATCACAATATCCGTACATCCAAATAATGCCGATTACAAAATTTTTTTTCTTCTTCCTTGTTTCGTCCAAAATCTTTCTGATTGTATTTGAGATTCCAGATTTTGTATGCATTTAGAATGGCAAATAGATCGCTTCCAGAACCATTTGACCATTCCAATCGTCGCGAGTATTCGCTTAGATCTCGTTCAAATGTGATTTTGAAAATGCTTTTGGTCGTTAGGCCAGCAGCTGAAAAATGATTCGTGTGATTAAAATATTGGAGTTTTTGGAGCAAATTTTCGAATGGAATTTGATGAAAAAAAACTCTAATCCCACACTAATAAAAAATACTTACCCATTATGATGCATTCTTCGAGCACACCAAAACAATATCCCAGCGCAATGAGACGTGTAGCGCGCACATCTAAAAATAATTTGAATACGATTTTTATATTGAAAATTGAGGCTGTAAGAATGAAAATGGCAATACAGGATTAAACATTCTGAAGCGCATCAAGAAAAAAAATTCGCAAAAGTGAATCATGAGTTCTGAATACGCAAAAGTGAACCATGAACCTCCTATGCTACTCATGTAAATTCATGTTTCACTTTTGCATATTCAGAACTCATGATTCATTTTTGCGATTTTTTTTTTTCTTGATGCGTTTCAGAATGTTTATTCCTGTATTGCCATTTTCATTCTCACAGCCTCAATTATATTATTCTATTATTAACTATACCAATTGGAAGGTTGGACATTATGTGGCCAAGGAATGTCATATCGCCATCCATTGCACTGTAACTATTTTGCACTGTCAAGTGTAATGCACCAAGCTCCTTCAAAGTTAGAACAGTGTTTGCGATATCGTCCATATCGGGTGCATCCATAGCTAAACCTATTGATAATTCGATTTAAAACTTGATAAATATGAAGTTATTAAGTTGTCATATTTTATTTTACCAAGCAACGTGTACGGTGCTTCCATTTCGAATGTCTTTGCTTTGAGAATGACATTTTCAAGCGGTGTCAAAAGTATTTCGGGAGTTGCAGATTCAGCCATGTAGCACTAATGCAGAAAAAAACATCATACATTATACAGTTCTGAAAATTTAACATTTCTCAACTGATCTATTATAATAGTACATACTTCGAAAAATCGTCTTTTCACCAGGCGGTAGCATCGTCCGTTTGCCACTCGGCCCGCGCGTCCAGCTCGCTGCTTGCAATTGTTTTTAGCTGCCCAATCCATTTCCAATGATGTAAAATTTTTCGTTGTATCACTCTTGAGATATTTCATCAGGCAGAAATCGATAACTAAGAACAATTTAATTCAAATATATATTGTAGGCTAGATACAATTTATGATATTTTTGTTTTTGTACCATATTTAACATCTGGTACTGTGATAGAGCTCTCTGCAATGTTAGTACTTAGAATAATTTTGCGCACATTATTTTCAACGGGCTCAAAGATTAATTGTTGTTCTTCAGTGCTGATCAATGAATGTAAAATGAAAATTCGCCACTTTAAATCACATTTCCTGCAATGCATAATTTGAACATTAAGAAAAAAAGAACTTAAGAAAAATTCTATAATGATTTAAACTGAGAATACTATTTTGTATTATCATACGATTGCGCATATTCCATTAGTTTAGTGCGGAAACGGCCAATTTCGTAAATGCCGGGCAGAAAAATCAAAATGGACGACAGTCCGGTGTCGGTTTCACGATCGATGCCCTTGATGTTTGTGATCAACAATAATGCTAGCTTGTACATTTCGTCTGTAATGCCCGGTTGTTTCCAATGGATTTCAGGTACCTTATCAATACAAATTTATTCTATTATTATTTACATTAACCTTATTATTTACATAAACATTCTACCGGTAAGCCTTTGATATCATCAAGGTAGAACTCTTTCACCGTGTACAAACTTTTCTGGTCAACTTTCACAATTGGTGCTGGAACCCAATGATCGAACTGAAAAAATCTGAAGTATTCGGCAAACTAAACGGAAATTATGGTTAGTGAATGGGAAGAATCAATCGGAGCTAAGATGAGTGGCTTACTTTTACGGTGTCAATGGTAGCACTCATCAGGATGACCTGGTAAAACATGTAAATACAGAATATTTATGGTAAATGAACCATTCCTCGCAAAGAAGCGTTATAATAGTGACGAATTATTTTTATAAATTATACCTTAATATTAATGCTTTGAGACCATAAAATTCGTAGAATGACGAAAAGAAAATCCATTTCCTTGTTTCGTTCGTGCACTTCATCTAACACAATATGCGAAAATTGAGTCAAACTCTTTGAATGAATCAATTTCTCCAATAGAATGCCGGTTGTAACGAATGTAATTCGAGTGTCTTCGGAAACAAATCGTTTGTCCAGGCCTATCTGATACCCAACGACAGTGCCTTAGAAAAATCATGCCATACTTTGAATATTCGTTTCAATTATTTATTCAAGTTATTAATTTACCTAGGTCCCAACCACGTTCACGGACGACCCGGTCAGCGATGCTTCGAATCGATAGAATAAATTGAATGAAGTAAATAAAATACTGTTTGAAAATCAAAATAAAAGCACCTTTTAGCTGCAATGCGTCTTGGTTGTGTAACAATTATATTGCACGCCTTTCCATGCTCCCTTGCATCGTCGAGTATCATCTGAGGAATCTGCAAATAAAAGTAATTGGTTTATTCAAATAAAACTTTTTCTACAATTTCGTCTGAATAAACTGTTAGTTTTTTCAACAAATTTGTTCATTTTTTTCATTTTTTTTCGAATTGAATATGATACTTGAAAAGTACATATGATGCGGTTGGAATGAACATGAGACTTTGTTCGCTCGATACACAGATACGAAACGAAAATCAAGCAATCCATCGAAGTGGAACATGGAAAAGAAATCCGTAAGACTGAACATTTGATGTATTTTTTGTCTGCAGTGTCGTTTTGAACGAATCCTCTTGCATTGTTTCATATTAACGGATCTATATCACATTGTTTCGTTACTCGAATATTTTTTCGTGTGTTTTATTTCAATTCCCGAGCTATTGATGACGTCAGTTGCATTCTTCACATAATGCAAATTAGGTGATAAGGAGTAGAATTTCGATGTGGCGATAACACCAATGGATTGAGCACATAAAATACTGTATTAGAATCGAAAAAAATCTAAACTTTTTTGCCTGATCGTCTACATGGGAAGTTTGTATGAAAACCTCATAGCACGCTTTGGCGCGGTTGCAATAACATTGGTTTATATGGAAGAATTTACACATGGCCAAAACTCGGATTTCCGAGCGGAATTTGGCAAAAATAATGTGCCCATCGCCCCAAACTCCCATGAATAAAATCGATGACTTCCCATTGAGCCATCATTGAACCAGCTCCAAAGTTCCTATTCCCTCAGAAGCCCAAAAATTATGCCTATTTCGCTCACACTTACGTGCAATTTTTACCCGTATTGTTATAAATTTACCCGTATTGTTAAAACTTCATTCCTCTTGTGCGCAACACTAAAAGCACTGTATTTCGAATGAGCTAATTAACGAGATAGATTTTATCTAGATGATAAGGTCTAGCTAAATTTTTGTGATGAATTGAACACTTGAAGCAAAATTTTGTGTCTAAATTCCAAAAAAAATTATATGCGAGTATAAAATACACTGAAGAGTTGTACTGCACCATGGCGCATGAAAACTAACTGAATCGGCGCTTAACCATATAAATGTAATAACAGATTTGGCTCATTCTTCAGCACATTTTGGCCGGCGAGCCAACGACTAGCTAGTGAATGATTCAATTTGTATAATAATGAATCTATGCTGTTTATTTTGCCACTGAAAAATAATAAATATTGTCAATAAACACACTAACCTGTGTACTTTTTCCACACCCGGTGGATCCTTCTATGACAACGCTCGGGTATTGCCTTATTTTAGACATTATCTTCTCTTTACATCCATAAATTGGCAATTGGGTACTCAATTGTGATCTACGATTGAAGTTGTACTTTTTATAGATGTCATCGTCGTGACCATCGTCGTGACAATCAAATGTTTTCATCGATGTTTTGATGTTGTCGTGTAACTTTTGTCGAATCATAGCTAAATCATCTTCAATCATTTCTCTGTCGCTTGTTTCTAAGATCTTTGCAACTGTGCGCCCGCGTTCAGCAGCAACGCGTCCATTTGTTGTTCCACCCGAAATTTTCGCAGGCTCAAATGGCCTGTTTTTATTGAACAGTATGTCCATGAAATCCATTTTTCAACTGTTCTGTTTCATAATTTTTCTCTCAAAAGGAATTTCTTTACTTGTTTACAAGTCAAAATTCAGCACCATAATAAACAGAGACGCGTACTTTTCACCCTACATCATTGCTTCGCTCTATTGGTGTTAGTGTGTGGTATTTTTGCTGTTCCTGAAAAGCAACGGGAATGAAAGAATAGATGTTTTTGCATGTTTGTGCATGGTCAAGCTACAACAACTGAAAACATACAGCAGTAGCATATACAACGTTATCGCACTCTATACCGTTGACCAGCTTAATCATCAACTTTGTTCAACCGATATAAATGTGTATGTATATGTAATATCTTGTCGCCAACTTCCCGTTGCTATGTGTTGATTATAATTGGATTGAAAACTGAAACAAACCCAGCGTTATGTTTTGTTAGCAATAAAATATTCACACAAATAAACCAGCGCGTGAAATGGTTGGTGTTGAAAAAGCAACAACGGATTTTCATATCCATAAATTTATGCACAACTATACATTCTTTTATATTTTATTATATTCTTTTTGTGCTCGGCATTTTCATGAGTGGAAAACAATTCGTTTGTCATTTTTTGTGGATTGGAATTTTGGTAAAATGGTACATTACAAATTAGTAAAAACTATCACCACCGTAACGAACAGACAACCAACAATCAAATTGCGATTTTCGTGTGTTAGTGTTTAGAACGATTCATTCCAAATCCACTTTAATGCGTTATCTGGTAGATATATTATAGCGAAATACATTTTATCAAGTGACGTTTAATGGCGTATTAACATTGCAAATGACCACCGTAAGTGGACTTTATTCGCATAACTGAAATTCGGTACTATAATGTAACTGATGGTGATTATTTTCAACTAGGATGACAATGATAATATGTGTGAAATCCTATATTGAATTTTGGTTATTGAATGACAAGATTTACACCGCCACTCCGTTTTAAATTATGAGCCTTTGATCAATTCTTTCAAATCTGTCGACATAATTCAATACAAATAGATCTCTGTCTGATTTTTATTATTATTTATATCAGCCGGCATTTTGCGGTATTCAAGTATGTACGAACAAATGGAAAACGAATAATCAGCAAACCCAAACATTTAGATGTTGGGAATGGGTAGAAAATTATAGAATGTTCCACACTTTGGTTATGTATTCATATAAAAACAATCTGCAGCACATTTATTCAATCGATATCAGAATAGAATTTACAATGTAGCATCCATGTAAGTCGTGTGTGGCTGACCTTTTTGTTGCCTTTTATGTGGACGTGTGATTCAAATCGGCTGCACAGCTATTCAAATCAACTGCATGTTATGCTGGTTTTCCTGCCTTATATACGTAATACGTGTAAAATTAAAAGATGCTAATTTCATAAACAATTCAATGGAGTTGGAACGATATTGAGGCCAAATGTTCCAGATGCTAAAAGTTCAGTTCATTACCGTTGACGGAAAATCTTCTATATCATTCGACTGTGAGAAACGCAATATGCCAGAAAAAAACATAAAACATTTGTTTGCGAATACACAATAAACCCGTTGTGCATCACTTCCCATAATATTTCACTGTTTTCGCATTAGCAGCTGTGCACTCACGAACAATTTGCAATTGTTGACTGCCGCATTTTTGTTGCCTCTCCCTCCCTCATATCGATGGTTCAACATGTGAAGGCAATTTTGATTCCAATTTTTCTTTTTATATATAACACACCAGAATAATCGTTAAGCGGTGTTGTAGCTAACATTTTGCTCTTCACGCATATTTAATTTGATTTCCCATCGATTGACAAATTTGTAGAACACCAGAAAATGTGGCCGGGCCCGTAACTGAAACGAAGGGCACAAAGGGGTTCTGAATGAATAATCAAATTGAGCACCCTCTGAAAAAAAAATTGTTCGCTAATATCCATGATTTTGTTTTTTTTTTTGTAATCAATTTGCCATCAAAGCCAAAATTGTTTGGCTCAAATATGAAATGAATTAATATGAAAAGCAGAATTATAAATAGAAATCAACTTTTGTCGCAGATAGAAATCAAGCAATATTCCTTGCTATCGCGTCTTTAAGCTATTATTTACCGCATACTTCTGGCCGCATTTAGAACAGCTGTGACTTCATTGTTAGTAGTTATTCTTGGGCAGTATGAGTATTGTTTACTCATACGTACGTGATGATACAAAAAAAAATCCAATTCATTTTAATGAAAATAATTTATTTTCTATGTTCTTTCAGGCCATAGTCAATCCCAGTCGCAATTCAGATGAGATATTGAAAAACCGTAGAAGCGGTCGTATCGAATCAAAAGAAGACACTCAGGTAGAAAAAAACCGGTGTCTGGTTACGGTTCTGGACGGAAATGGTATTACGTCAACGGAATTCAACATTGTTTTCTTCTGTTTTGTTGGAAAAGTAACAATATGGGTGAACACTGACTTATCGATTTTTCTTATCAGGTTGCAGGTTGCTTATCGTCATTTGAACGACTAATATTCGACACATTCCAGATTCTTACTAAAAAGCATTATTCATGTTCAAACTCTCAAATTGATTCCTTTAATTTAATTTGCACTGAAATTGCGAAAATGATGGAAAAAAGAAACGTGCATATAATCTGAATGTGCTTGTGCTCGGGATACAGATGCCAAAAAATATTGGTAAGGAACAGCGTATTCAATCGGAGCTAAGATGAGTGAAAACTTTTTTCCAAATTTTCGTTAAGGTCGGCCAACAAAAGATTCACATTTTATGTTTTCACAACTTTTCATCACTTTCTTACAGAGATTGTAAAATGCCTGCTATATAGCGCTATCCTGTACTGAAATTCACGACTCCATTTGGAACAACGCGCTCTACGTAAATGCTCCGAGCTATATAGCAGGTATTTCGCAATCTCTGCTCTCTTGTCGTTTATGCTAATAACGAGAAAGAGAACACTGTCGCTCGCTCAGAGTGTCGCTCAACGTTGTCGTTATCTGTCAGTTTTATCAGGCGATGACCATAAATTGAGCGACCTCCTTAACATTCAAATCAATCAAAAGAAGGAATAGAAAGAAGAAAGAATAAAAACGGTCAACGTTAAGTGTCACTTGCCCGAATCTTTGGAGATGCCAACTAGAGATGGCTTGGCAATGCAAATTTCACAATATAGCAACATGCGGTTGGCAAACGTATGGATTTTGTTGCTTTCATATAATTTCTTTTCTGTTCTTCTAGGATCTCCTTTTTTCGTCCAGTCTTTGCATCATTTCGAATTTGATTATTATTCTACCACAATTCATGAAACAGAGCTGAAAAAACCAGTGACATTTTTTGTATCTTCTTTCCAGTCATTGAAAATTATTTCTGGAATGCCGTTCCGCTTCCTGAGAATTTCCGCATTTGGACAAAAGCAATCGAAAGAGTTGTATAAAACTACGAATAAATTTGAAACACAAGTTCAGAGCGCTGTTTCATTATTTTATTCGGATGAACATTATTCTACAAAACGTTTTCACCTTTTGCGGAATTCGTTCAATTAAAATATTTTCCACAAGTGTAATAAATGCTCGTGATTGTGCACACTGCACACACTCTCACACATATTTTCTTGTCTGCGCGTATTCTCTTACTTACATAGTTTCTTTCATGAACTTCTCATCTCATCTCTTTTGGTGTACGAGAAATAGTTACATATTTCAAGTGTACATTTGAATTTTAGAAGCAGGAAAAAATTTGCCAACCAAATCCAAATTAACTGTCGGGCTGCATTCCTGAAATTTCTCACGCTAAAATGAAATTGCTTCGTCCTTCGCTACAAGTTAAACACATACATAGTGAATACACGATGGATAAACTATATTTATTCGAATCTTCATGAATCTCTTGGATTCAGTTAGAAAAAACTGATTGAAAATTGTTCGCGATCAACCAATCTCCATCAATTCGATTGCTGCCATACGCATGAATTCACACTTCATAAATAATTGATGTTAATGATTTTTGAAAGAATTTCAGATTTGAAAGAATTGTCAGACATTTGCAAAACACCAAGCGTGGACTCTCATGGGCCTAGGAATAGTTTTATATTGTCCGATAGGATTTTCAAACGAAAAACAGCAGCATCATGCATGATATTAGGTTTTATGAAAACAATAGTACCTAACCACAAAATTCAACGTTCAAAAAATGACAATCCATTTCTCACCGCTCAATAATAGCCAAACGATGTATATATATTTATATAAATGTCTGTGTAAATATTTGTTAAAGGCATACGTTTGGCTATGGGTCAACAAGTGTATCTTTCTATAAACCAAAAAAAAACGGAAACAAAGAAGAAGAGCAAACATCGTACGATATCACTGTTCATGCACACACACACACAAACGGGAACAGTTTTCGGTCTTCGTTTAACCACGTAGTGTCCGATATCGAGCACTATGTGTTTCTCTCTTTTTGCCTCTGTCTCGTTCTCTGTTTTTTTTTTCTTTTTCATTGGTCCACATAATTTTCGTTAAGGTTGATATGGTCATTTGCATCTTATTTCTTTTGTCGACTCTGATGAAAAATCTATATCATTTGATGTTTTCGCAGTAATTTCATTGTGCCCTTCTTTTTAATAAAAATCTAATTTAAGTTCATGTTAGAATATTACATTAAGTTTATTTTTATGAGTCTTTTGATAACATTTTTTTTGTCGAGCATTCTAAATTTGTGTGACAGGAATTCCAAATATTGAATTTTTCTGTTTGTTATTTGTGTTCTTTTGATGTGACCGTGAAAGTAAGTTTTTGTTGAAAAACTAAAATACGCAAAATCTGCAACAATCATTAAATATTAACGTGAACTGAGAAAACACGTGTTTCGACGTTTAATGAAGCGGCAATGAAATCATTTACGAATGTAATAGTATTTAGGTGGTGGTTCTTGAGAATGATACAACAACATGATCATGAGACAAACGGATTACCGTCACAGTTCAATCGGTGCTCACAGTAATTGATGTGAGTGTATTGGTTTCACGATTCCCTGAAAACCATGTGGATTTCGACAGAAACGCGTGCTTTCTCTGTAGCCATCATATGCCATTTTGTGACGACGTGCAAAACACACTTGCGTTTCCAAGAAAATTGAATACTTGAAAAGAGACAAAAAAAGTGCACGTTTCATCTGTTGCAGAAAAGATTCGGCCGATTTTCAAGCGGTGATTATTATTATAACAACTTCTCGCTGAGTACGAACGCAAATCATACATTCTCCGACGTGCGATCGAAATTGGAATTTTTCGTTCAGTCGTTAGACACATTAGCTTGTTCATTTTCAGACTATTAATCCGGGTTTTAACTATTTTTAAGTTAAATTTGCTTTTAACGTTAATTAATAGTTTTGCGGTATTTTTTATTGAATGCGCGAAATTTTATTGATTACGTAGGAAAGTGAAATTATCGAAACAAATTTTTCATCGTTTTTTTTTCTCTTTTGTGAATTCAATTAAACACTCTAAATATAAGCGTGCAAAAGTTGCAAGAGAGATTAATCAACCAATAGACGCTAAAATGGGTCCAGATGGAAATAATGTAAGTTTAATTTAATTTTCACCCGTATTTTTGTTGCGGTAGCAGTAGTTGGGTAAATCAAAATTTTGCGCACTACTTTAAGCCAATGCTACTGAGAGATGGATAAAGGTCATTGACTTTCCATCCAATGTTATGTGATTTTATCCAACGGTTTTCAAACCACTCGGATTTGGCTTGGAACTGTGAATTATTGAAAGCGAAATTGAACGTTAGAATTCATTTTTAAGTGATTTGGAATCATCCATCCATAAATATGACTAATAAAAATGTAGTTCAGAATGTTCAAAATCACGACCATATTCTGGCACATCAGCATGGAGCTACGGAGGTTCGTTGAACCCTTGGCCATTTTGTAAAAAAAAACCGCTTGATTTTTCACACCACCCGGTAACGTTATACAATATTTCCAATTCCAATTAAATTTCTACCCATTCAAATCGAACATAAATTCCAGTCAAAACAAGATGCTGAATGCAAAAAATCGTTCATGGATATTTTTGACGCAATAAAAGCTGATAAATGTATGTAGTCAGCAAATGCATAGTTTTCACGGATAATTTTAAATTGAAAACTGGAAATTTATGGACGGTGTCGACACGTGTGAAATCATAATTTATTGGAAAACCTTTTCAATTCTATGTTATAGCTTTGTATTTTTCCTCTCTCCCTTTCTCATTTCTCGGCGCAGAATTTGTTTAATAATTTAATGTACCGTAATGTGCAGCAGTCAAGTGAAAGCCAGAGCGAAGCCTCCTCATCGGCTGAAAGCGATTGGAGCGATATTAACAGTATTGCTTTGCAAATGGGCTTGCATCCAAAAGATTTGTGCGTTGAACGGTTTAAAGTTGATCGACAAAAACTTGAAAATATGATTAAAGGTAACGTATTCTCATTCAATTTTCATACATTCTTATTGAACACGATTTTCCGTATTATCACAATGATTATTCATTTTCATATGCATTCATCTGTAGACGCATCACCTACCAAAGGCATAAATGCTGCTGAATGTTTTTTCGAAAACGTAAGCCATTTGCTATTGACATTTTTCAAATATAGTATTTTTAATAACTCAAAACAAATAATAACTGAGTGGTGTTATTATCCATTTTGATATCTGCTTTGTTAAATTTTAAATTATGTTACATTTATACAAAGAATTATATGAATGTCCGAGAATGAAAACGCAACTTCTATTCACAACACATATAAGTGAAACAAAAATAAAAAATTTATTGAAATGAAACAACAAAATCGAATTTTTTCAAAGTGTAACAACAAAAAAGATTTTTTTTAAAGTGTAACATCGGTGTGTAGTAAGTGTAACAACATACCAATGTTACACTTTAAAAAAATCTTTTTTGTTGTTACACTTTGAAAAAATTCGATTTTGTTGTTTCATTTCAATAAATTTTTTGTTTTTGTTTCACTTATATGTGTTGTGAATAGAAGTTGCGTTTTCATTCTCGGACATTCATATATAAAAAATATCATGGGTTTTGTGAAATTTTATTCAACCATTCGATTAGATTATAAAATCGACTGGGACCCGCATCAGCTGGCCATGTCGCTTAAAAATCGGTGCAAAAACAAAAAAAGGTAAGTTAAAAGAATGGCCAAAATACACGAAAAAATGTAGCATATAATGAATGTTTCATTTCAAGATCCACATGTGCGAATCGTTGGTAAAAATTCGGATGTCATGAAAGCTAAAGAGCAAATTTTGCACTCTTTGGACTCTCGTGTAAGTAGAAAACAACTACAATTAAGACATAACGACTTAATCATCCTTTTTCGCGATCAGGGCTGTCGTGTAATCATGAAAATGGATATTTCGTACTCTGACCATTCATACATAATCGGACGTGGTGGTAACAATATTAAGAAGATCATGGAAGACACTTTGACTCATATTCATTTTCCTGATTCGAATCGTTCGAGCCAAACGGAAAAAAGCAACCAAGTTTCGTTATGTGGAAGTTTGAAAGGCGTGGAAAAGGCACGCGCTCTAGTTCGTGTAAGTTATCCGAATCTAATTATCCAAACTTTTTTTTATTATAATAATTGATGAATTCTTAGTTCTCGACACCATTGATTATATCTTATGAATTGCCCATGAGCATTCCTGGTCGACCGATGCCTGATAACAATACCGAATACGTTAAGGAAGCTGAAGCTAGGTTTAATGTTCAAGTGAGATTTTTGTCTCGTGCTAAATTGCATACGTCCGTTTTGGTTAAAGGTTGTGAAAAAGAAGCAGAAAAAGTTCAAGACGCAGCTCGTCATCTATGTTTTCATATGTGTGGAAGTGTAAGTATTAGTAATGGTTAACAGTTCAAGAAAAATTGAAAGTAGACTGAAACTGGATACTAGGGATTTTGCATTGACGTTTCCGACTGTAAACATGACATCAATTCATATGCGTGTGCTGTCAAAGTCACTTTGTCATGCGTCATTCACATTAATGCTTTGACTGATTGTGGTGAACAGTGGTGAGATTGGAAACGCCATACATTTTATATACATTATTTGTTTGGGAATTATATTCATTTATTTTCTTTTATTGTTGATATTTGGGCTCTGCAAAGCCTAGGCTTCATCCACGATTTGTTTTCCAAAGAAATATTTTGAAAAAATCGTGAGTTTGCACTGTCAACACTTGTGTGGTTTTTCATATGATTTTGAAGTCATCGAATGTTGTCACCCGTTCACACATTCGATGAACTTGCTACACCAAGTGTTAGTATAGTTCATTGCTGACGTTTTCCAATCCACCATACGTATTTATATGTGTGTGTACATCAAAATGTCAAAGTTGTCAAGAATTCAACCAAGTTCGTCGTTCTTTTTTAAAAATAAATATTTAAAATTACTTGAACAATTCGGGTTTTCCTCGGCGTTAGGCTGAAATTGGTACTTTTTTGCGTTGTTTAAAAACAAACTGCGTCCTATCCCATCGAAAATTGGATAAACAAAAATGAATACCAGTGCTAGAAAGTGTTTTTGTTGTCATCAAAATTCTTATTCATAACTAAACAACCACTAGAAGTAGTTTGAAAGTGTAAATGACAAAATAAAAAATGGTATCATATAATGAATTGAAACGAAATTTATAGATGCGATTCGACGAATGGTTCACACTATATCGTTGTTTTATTATTGCCTGCCAGAAGGTCAGAACTATGCAGTTGTGGGTTGATGAAAAAATAATATTCCTACGTTTAATTTTCCTAGTTTCTATCGAAATAAAATTAGCAATTTTGTTTTCATTACAGAGCCAAATTCAGGTCAATTTGCAGCTTCAAATTTCACCACAACATCATGACATCGTTAAAGGCAGAAACAACATGCACCTAATGAAAATCATGGAGCATACTAATACCAAGGTTTGTTATGCAAAGAGAATTGGCCCAATACAAAGATGTTTGAAAACAGTAGCAATAATGCAAGCACATTAATCAAGTAACGGGCTCCTGTTATGAGCGACAAAAAATCCTTTTCTAACGCTGATCGTGATTATTGAAACAACCGAGCCCAGTTCATTTTAAAAGAAATCAACTCAAATCAAATCAAATGAAATGGCGTACAGGCATAACAGAGCAGTTGGATTTTTTTGGAATGAGACTACAATTAAATCAAAATATATTCACCGTTTTGTTCGTTTTTTTTTCGTATTTACCGCACTGTTTTTAGTTTTGCTTTTGCGTTTAAAATGCGTTTTCATATTTTAGTAATGGTGTGAAATAAAATTTTATTCCAGATAATATTTCCGGACTTGAGTGACGCGAACATAAACCCGAAAGAAAAATCTCAAGTGACTATTACTGGTATCATTGATGGCGTTTACCGAGCTAGACAGCAGCTCATTGTAAGTGCAATTTTCATTCTTTTTATTCGAACAAAAAAAAATGCATTAAAACAAAAACCAGTGTGCAAGCTATATCAGCATTTGTATGCAACATCCGTGGCAATTGCGCGCTTGAAAAATGGAAAAATGTAAAACGAAATGAGAAGCAATATAATTGCAATGAGCAATGAATAAACACGTTGTACCACATTTGAAATAAACACACAGGCGTACACACAATGAAATAATTGTCTCGTAAATGATACGAATTTACACCACGCAATTCGGTTTTCGGTGTTTTTTTCGTTTTCCATTTTTTCTGCACCCCGTTCTTGTGTGCAGACAATCGTATCGTTACGTTGTCGTTGCTTTGTCACTTCACTTGGTTTCCATTGTCGTTTTTGTTCTTGCTTGCGTTTATTATTGGAATCAGTTTTTTCCCAGTGAATGAAATGGCCTCAAACATCCTGCATTGCATTCATAACGATTGTATTTAATGCCGTCGTTTATGTGTAAATCAAAATGTCTGTCACTCACACAGCTAAAAACTTTACATGCAATTTCTTTTTTAATTTTTCTGTTTGTTTTGTTGTTTTCTGAAAATTGTAGCCAATTTATTTATAGCTTCTGTTTAATTTTTTTTTCATTCCCATGTAACCATTTCATTGGTCATTTGTATTGGTTTGTAATTGTTTGTAGGGCAATTTGCCGGTGGCTCTGATATTCGATTATCCGGAAAATTCGGTTAAACAAGAGGATATTAATACGCTCATGAATCAATTTGGAGTTTTCATTGCTGCCCGCCATAAGCAACGACAAAGCACTTTGTGCATCGTTATAAAAGGAATCGAGAAATACGTCGGTAATCCCATGAATAAGATTAATTTTGTCAAACAAATGTGTTCTGTTACAATACCTTTGGCTGGCACCATTCTTCGCCTGATATATTATTAAACCATATTTTGATTAAATTTAGATAAAATCTACGAAGCTCGACACAAACTCTTGAATTTGACATCGAAGGAGGTTGTGGAGGCTGAAATACCGTCTACATATTTCTCATTGGTAGAACAAGAATTCAATACATCGGCCTTGGTAGAGATTTTATCCAGTGTTCCTAATAGTCCCCTCACGCCCGGTGGTTTGTTGCAAAATTTCACTCCAACTTTTCCGAATCCTTCATTTCAAAACCAACTTGGCAGTCGCGTGCATGATTTTTCAAATTTGACACCAGCAAATCTACGCTATCATGCACTCCAACAACAAGCCCTTCAACAGCAAGTGAACAATCAAACTTTAGCTTCAAGTCTTTCAGCAAATGTTATGCCATCTTATTCAACCGGTCCAAGTGTTTCACCCCGTTCTACGAGCACGAACACCAGTGGATATCTTAGCCATGCAAGCAACATCCTCAATATCAGTGGCAGTGCAAATTCACTTGAACAACTTTACGCCCCATACAAACCAGCGATCCAAATTAACGGCAATGGTGTAAACCATTTTCCGCAATCGGAAAGTCAAATATTTATTGGCAGTTCGGCTACCAATTTATCACGGCATTTAAATGAAAGCGGTAACCATTCATTCGAAACTGAAAATCGTTTGCTGACACCGGGCTTTCATTCGGTTTGTATAATTATTTCCGACATATTTGAAGAGACATAGGTAATCATATATTTCTGTGCAATAATTGTAGCCACGAACATTGGATTTTGATCGAAAGCGTATTGAAGGTCTGAAAGCGATGGACCGTCTCGATTTGAATAGAGAACAGGTTAGAACACCAACTGATGCATGGGTTAAGTTTTCCTTGAGCAAAACGTCACCGTTTGCACTGGAATCATCATCCGCAGGTGTGTCGCAATGGGCTCAAAGAGAAAAACTCAACTTTGACAAAGTTGCAACCACGGGTCTTATTGATAGTGTACCATGGAGTGACCGCATATCTTTGTCTCAGTTCAAAGATATCCATTCACTATTCAGTCATCTCAAACTTGAGCACTACATCAGTAAGTAATATTATGAAAATTTAAACGATTATCTCCCCTGAAAATTAAACGAAAAAATAATACTCACCACATTATCAACATCAACATGATTTTTACTCCTCGGAATAGGTAATTTTGTTGTAGAGAAAATTGATATCAAGATGTTTGCCACGTTGACTGCAGAAGACTTACTGGAGCTGAAAATCAATGCGTTTGGTGCTCGAAAACGTTTACTTTTGGCAATAAACCAGTTAAAGGCAGAAACTCCTCCATCAAGTGAATGGGTCCAGTTATCTGACTTCAAAGATATTCCATCATTATTTACACACTTGGAAATGGGTCATCACATTGGTGAGTATTCATTTATTTTTCATATCGTATATTTTTAACACTAACATTTATATATCATTCTATCAATAGAAAACTTCATTCAAAATGAAATTGATTTGAAAACGTTCGTGACGTTAACAGCACACGATTTGGATGAACTCGGTGTTAAACCATTTATCGAGAAAAAACGACTTCTTCTGGCTATCAATCAATTGAAGTCTGAAAGGTTTGCTGGTTCGGCGGCTCCTGGTGCAGAGCGTCGATCAAGTGCAGGAATTATTCCAGAGTCTAAACTGTTCCACATTTCTTAGAATTGTTCAAAAAGTACATAGTACTGAAACTTCAAAATGGAACCAGAAAAAGAACAAATAACAGCCAATGCATACAATAATTTTAAATGGTAGAAAAATTATATAATACAAAGTTTACTTAAAATCATTGTTAAAATATCAATAATGATTTACATAATATTTAAAACAAAGGTCAAAAGGCGGATGATAATAATCATAATTGAAAGAAAAATAGGTCACAAGCAAGCGTGAACTGCGGTTTTTGGTGTATTTGCATATAGTTTCATCTGGATTTTTAGTAACCAAAAATATGAGTCTCTTTCATATGTATTTGACCGTCATGGCCAGATAATATACGAGAAGATTGAAAGTGTTTTAATTTGTACAACCATAATAAATTATTTAGTCGACAAGCAGCTAAAATGCCGAGAGCGAAATTAATATGAATCGCAATTAAACCACAAAAAATAATTATGATAATGTGAAATTGAAACAACGACAAGCCACCACAGATATTCAAAAATATAATACAATATATATATATATATATGTATATACACATAACGAAAATGAGAAATCCCAATGGATGATAGGCTAATACATTTCATAGAGACATGTTGTTGTTGCGAAAAATCGCAGACTTTTAATTTTGAAATAATAGATTGAAAAAGAAACAAAAGAGAAAATTTAACGCAAAACATTGTATGCAATGCGCTGGCTTAATATAATACCTTTTTTTCTTCCTCTCATTCCATAAATTGATAACAACTCATTACTGCATGCACAATGTTATTACTACATTATTCATTAAAAAATTTCTACTCATAAAGTAATTTCAATCCCCCATTTCCAATCATTCGAATATTATTTGAAAATTATGAAAACACTCAGCATATATATGATTAAAAATGAATCAATTCACTTTGAAACAAACAGAAGATTAAATTGTAATTATAATTATATTCGAATTATTTATGAAATAAATTTATTTGAACAGGAATTGAATCTAATTTAGAATTGAATTCTATTCAGCCACATGAAAGTTTTCGCTAATTCTTAAGGAACACATTTTCTTGTTTCAATAATACCAAATATTTTGAATATCGTTAAAATATAAAGAAAGTCAATTTGATTTGTAAATCCATGTTCATAAGTTTTTTCATTTACAGGTGGTTTCCAGTTTAGTTGACAATTTTGTTCACATATTTGCTCGTGTGGACTGTATGTTTCTGTTGAAATTGGCATCAAATATGTCAGCAAAAAAAATTTGGTCATCATTGGGAATAATAGATAACAAATTCCCGCTGAAAAAACACGTTTTCTATTGCCAAAAAATAATAATAATAAGGTCAAAAAGTTGGTTCTGAGCTGGCAAACGAAATGAAATAATGGAATTCGAAAAAATTGCAGCAAAAAAACGATAAATCACATAATGTTGCAGAATGAACGAAAAGAGCGAGGAATCAAATAAATCGATCAATATCAAAGTAATTGCCATTTCGAAGCTTTTTTTTTGAAGCGGGTTTATGCGTGTATGTATTCATGTTTTAACAATTTACCGGTGTGTCAATTAAAAAATCAATCATTCTTATCGGGTTTAATTGAATTACAAACGTACAAATGCTACAACAGCACTCTCACACGTTTGCTCAATAAAAAACAATTAAACAGTTTGTTTTGCAATCAAATTATTCATCATGTAGTGATGAGAGAAAAAAATCGTCCTTCATTTTCAAACATTTTACTACGTTCTTGAATGGTTTGTCGTACAACTAGATTGAATTTTAGAAAGAAAAAAAACTATTATAGTCAAATTTTTCATCAGTAAAATGAATGATACATCAATTGTATGTATTTTTCGGGTAGACATGTTCTGTTCTGTTCCAAATTATCACAATTTTCTAGCACTAGACGAACGAGTTTTTCCACTCCTTCTGGATTTAGATTCAAGTTAAAAAAAGTTGACATGATAACATTTTTAAATATAAATCATTATTTCGCAATATTTATTCCATACTTTGGAATCAAATTTGAAAATGAGAGAAAATTAGGACAACACTATAAAAAATATTTTTAATCTTCAAGTGCACTTTTCACACAATTTTCCAGTTCATATGATATGATTACATTAAAGGAGCATTACATTAAAGAACATATGGAAAATTAGGCATGCGATAAACAGCATGTACGCAATGATAAAAATAAAAAGAATCCTCCAAGGTTTTTAGTTAAAATGTTAATATTCATGACTAGAAATCTGATATATATATATATATATATATAGGAAAGAGAGAAACCGTACTTCACTATGGAACAAACCGTACTTTGAACGTTTCTTTCAAACTACTCAATTTTATTTAATGAAATTTATTATATGTTCATTTGCGTTTCCTACAGATCAGATGTTCAGATTGCTAGTTTGAAGATTGTAGTTTATTGTAAATAAAATTAAAATAAATGAATAAAATCTAAAACGTAAACACAAAATGTATTCCAGTGGAAGTAAAAATTCCACTGGAAGCGCTTTGTAATGGAGACGGTTGATAGAAATTCTGTAATGAAAATTTGGAAAGCTCTAACATTATTCGGCCTGTAAGAAAAAATAAAAATATTAATTCATTGAAAGTACACTGAAATAGCATCATTTTTTGTATCATCAATTACTTACGTATAATAAAATACTGCCCAAGAATGACTGTCAACAATTGAACGTCAATAGCTGTTCTAAATGTGGCCGCATACTTCTGCTGAATAGCTTAAAGCCGCGATAGCAAGAAATATTGCTTAATGAAATCTGATGTACATTATTTGGAAAATTGAAATTAAAACATTTTTCTGACTATAAAATATGTTTATTTCTATGTGAAGGTAAGAAGGTATAACCAGAATATTTGTTACGAATTTTTTCTTACTGGAAAATTTCAAAATGAAGCGTTCGTTACATTTTTCATGAAGTGACCACTTTAGTCTTGTAATTGGTGTTTATTTGGTTTCACACTAAGATAAATTTAAATTTATAATTTTTCTGTACTATTTTCAATGTGTAGTTTTGTTGTTAGATTATTTTGATACGGAAAGAATCCCAGAATCCAATTTATATCCTTATACAAATACTCTAAATTGTCATATAGGTTCAATGTGTTCATGCCTCTGCATTCGCATTTCTTTCTATCCTTTCAAATTTAAATTTATAAAATACAAACAATCTCGACGTTTTGAAACGACACGTTAAGACGCTCACAAAAACAATTCATTCACTATATTGGTTTGTTGAATGTCAATGAGTCGCTCCTTAGACCTGAAATTAATATTTATAGCGACACCACAAACACGACTTATTTTCCATTTATATCATCTTGACCTGTAGCCATTTAAAATTGCACTCGAATGTGAAGGTATTTGAAAACTGTTCAAAAGAATACAAAACATCCGCTTATTGTCAGACTTTGAACAATTGTAGAGCGCCATCCATAAATAACGGCAAAATCAGCTGTAAATAGCCGTAAGTGATTTCGACATATTGTGAAATATTGCCAAATCATACCAATTAGTACTGAATTTTGTCGTCATTTATGGACGGCGCTCTACAATTTCACACTTCGTATTTTATATGTATTCAATACAAGATTATATGCGTGTGATACAAAATGCGGAAGATTGAGCTGTAGGTTGTGCAAATACATGGTCTTTGTATCGTATTGTGATTGTTTCCTCCCATAATTTTCTTTTCCAATATATATATCACCATATGGGTGAGATTGAATGAAGTGTGTTTTGTGAAATGTGTTGTTTTTATTTATATCGTGGCAACCAGCCCACTCCCTGTTTCCCATTTTTAAGTCGAAAGAAACTGATTCTTTTTTTCCACAACAACATACAGCAGTCTCACTAATAGATATCTACAATTACCTTTAAATATATTATTTCACCAACAAAGTCTATTGAAGGTATATAAAATTATGAATTTCATATGTTCGTAGCGTTGTGTGCAAAAAAAATTCAATCGGAACGATGTAGAAAGCAAAAAATCGGCATTATCGGTCGTCTAAAAATTGGTTGCCCATTGGAGCAAAGTTAAATTAGTTATTTGTCGTACACCCGCTCTGTCACGTTTGCGATTTTATTTATATTCTTTCTGATTTGTTGCACTCGTTATTGCTTTTTATTTCCTGTTTCAGTTCTGTCACTGGTTCGAAAGAATTTAATCCAATAAAGTCGTTTGGTTTTGTTTGTTCAAACACTTTCCTTGTTGTCGTTATTTGTATTTGCTCACTTCTTACAAAATATAAATAAAACATCTTTTGATTTTCACACATTCCTTCTGACTGAAATTATTTGGAAGTTTTTCTTCTTCTCTCACAAACTGTTCAAACTGAAAATTGCTTTGATTTTTCTGTGAAAAATCAGTGTGTTTGATTTCCTTATTTTCCACTTCTATTTAGCTTCGCAAAAATGCTAACAAACCGTTTTCTATTAATCAAAAGAACGTCGAAAAAAATTTGTAGCAAGTGCGGCATATGAAAAACTGTGTTTTTTTCCAGTGGTAATAAACATTTCCTTTTGAAGGACCGTTTTTACTTTGAATACTAATGAACTTTTTATCGTTATGTCAATATTTTGAAGTAATACAAGTCGCGTGAAAATGTTGAAGGTATTGGAAAGGCGTTTTTTGATTTACCGTTGGTTTTATTGATCAACACATGTTTTCCGTTATTTGGTTAAGAACAATTTTCCCATGGTAATTTTTTAAGAGAAGTTTCAATTCTAATACTCTAGGTTTCAAATCTATTGAATATAATACAAATGTGCAGCATGCACAATTTATACGCTGCCATCGAATCCAAAAATTCTATATTCGTATATTGTTGTTTTCTGTTGATTCAACAAAATGGAATGGAATGGATTGTGTTAATGGTGACAAACGCCCACCATTTCGAATGCAAACACTTTTCAATATTTACAGTCCGATTTTATCATGATTTATGCGATGAAATTATAGTCAACGTAGGAATTTAAACCCATTTACAAAACAATTCAATTCAATTTCTATTTGTAATTTACGATTTTTAAAAGCCTTTCCATTTTATGTGTTTATTCATATTCGTCAACTCAATGTATGTTTCAATTATATTACAATCTTGTTGAAATGAAATGATAGTTGTTTATGCAAAATGTCAACTGTCGGCCAGATTGTGCATTCTAAATAAATGATAATTTTAAGAAATTTAACTGATTTTGACACTGTAATCATTCCCGTTATTCATTAATGGTATATAGTACAAGTGCTAGAATCTCATGTGTCGGTTAAAAAGCCGACAAACATGTTGAAACAATAAGGGGAATTTTGAACTTCAGCTTCACAGTTGCTACATTTTTTTAGAAATATGATCCATCAATTCTATCATTTATTCTTCAAATCGTAAGATATATAAATAAACAATTTGTTGAATTCCGAAGCCGCGTTAATTTCTAAAGAGCGCATGCGTGCAAATTGATAAACAAAAACTTCCCCTGAAAAAAAGAACTGAAGTGTTGTGTTTTGTATTTTAACAGCAACTGCTGTAAAAAGGGGGTCACTTTTGTAAATAACTTTCCGCACAGTTCTGATGGTTATGATGTTTATTATATATTGCGTGCACGCGCATAGAAATGTCTGAGCACATGGATACACAAATATTCTCGCACAAATATACGCGCAGCACAGTGTATAGAATACTCCATCATTCATAATAATAATAATAATAATAATAATAATATTATTTTATATCGTGTTTCGTGTCTAGCAGCCGTCGGTGCCGAGCAAAACCTTATATGCCAGCACAAAATCACAACCATGCACATCGTGTCTGTTCAACGAAATTTCAGTTACAAACAAACCTCCGATGTGGATACGATTTTTCTGTGTTGTGTGCATCACTCTCTTGTCGTACGAAAACCGCATGAATCATACATATAATTTGAATTTAGTGAGAAAAATTTGTTTGGCCAAATATAATTGGT